ATTAACGGAGAATACCCAGATACAAGGTTCACAGGAACAAATGCACTGGAGAGATGATCAACCAGAAATCCCTGGAGGCCGCTAACGCCTTTATAAAGGCTGCATGGCACAAATCAGGGATGAGGGTGTGCGCAACCATGCGCCAGTGTGTGTCCTTGCATATTCCTGTAGCCATGTAGAATACTGGCAGGAATGCCAGGTCTTTGTGAGACGTTACTGCGGACAGCATCCTAACGGATGTCCCTCTGGTGTGTAGTGACATGGAAAGCAGTGCTCCAGTGAGGAACTCTGTACATTTAATTACTAGAAACAGTGTCTGGCTCATCTCTAAGTCAGCGGCTATCTTAAGGTTTTTTTCACCTGAACACAGCCTCCGCCCAATCTCGGGCATTGCTGAGTGTGTGCACACACAAAAAGGTACCCCAGGTGCAGAGCAAGCAGCCCACCCACTACCTGGCATAGCCCAAGAACCCTGTGGGTTTACAACCTGGAGTAGCCATCAAGGATGTGCCTGCTCCCAGAATATGTTTAGAAAAGACTGAGAATTTTGCCATCCGGTAAAAAAAACGTTTGGTCATAGGATTTAGTTCCTACATGCAGTCAACATGCCTTTTGGTTTGACAAAGTTGTAATTTGCTTTGATTGCACTGATACTATGGTGTACGTTTGATGGGGGGGGGGGGGGGGGTGACAAACAGCCCCTCCCAGTCCAGGGAAGAGACATGGGTGGATTGTACCTGCTGCATAGGTTCCAGCATTTCATAAGATAAACTGGTGGCAATAATAGGTTTGTAGCAGTATACAGGGGGGTTAAACACTGGCCACAACTTTCCCCCACCAAGGGTAAAATTTGTCTTCTCTTGGGATGGCCAGAGTGAGTGTGTGTTGGAGAAAGGATGCAGGAAAGTGTTAAAGGCTAAGTTCACCTCCGCAGCATGTTACACCCCCATATTTAGGGTGTAACATGTTCCAGTTTATGTCCCACTCACCCCCTACCCCTTCCCCTGTGACAGTGAGTGGGGGCTCTTCTCCGAGGACCCGCTGCCACATTTTAAATTAGCACAGCTGTGCAGGCGGAGCATAGGAAACTGAATGTAGAAACTACAAGTCCTGTCTGCCACCACAACAGGCCCTAATAGGTCATTAACACTTTCTCTAGCTTTCTAACAGAAAGCTCGTAAAAAGGTATGGGCAAGAAAGCTGGAGGAAGTAGCTGCAGGAGCCTGACATTGTGCCCACAATCCACTGTTCAATCCAATGTTTTGTAAGCTCCTGGAGGGAAAATAATAATTTCTTCTGCAAAAATATGTGCATTTAATATTTTTTCCTAAAAGGTGAACCTAGCCTTCAAGGAACATACAGTTAGGTCCATATATATTTGTATGTATCCTATACTCATTCACCAGGATCTGGGGGCCCTCTTGTTAAAGGGGGCTTCCAGATTCTCTAAGCCCCCCCGTACAGACTCAGATCAACATGGGAGCTTTGGGTGGGAGCCCCCCCTACGTTGAGGGCATGTGGCCTGGTATGATTCAGTGGGGAGGGGGCACTCGCTTATCCACCCCTTTTCCTGACCTGCCAGGCTGCAAGCTCGGATAAGTGTCTGGTATGGGAACCCCACATTTTTTTATTTATTTTTTGGCATGGGGTTTTTCAAAAGGGCCTGATGCATTGGGGGGGGGGGGGCACGCTGTTTTTTCTTTGGCACTGTTTTTTTTTTATTCTGCTTTCAACGGAGAATCCTGTTGACAACAGATGAGTCATGGTTGTCAAGGATGCCGTTACTGGCTGGCCTTCCCTCTCCTTATCAACCAGCTATTATGAAATTAATTTTAATCATTCAGTTCATTCGGATGCTTCTATCATCTGAATGAAAGAAATGAGCTATTGCATTTTTTTTTTTTTTTTCCAGATCCATTCAAATTTGTTACTGTTGTATACGGAAATTTGGATACATATGAATTTCTGAATAATGAAAATTTAATACAAATTTAAATTTGGAATGAAACAAAGCACACGTGTGTACAAAGGACACGGATATATATATAGCTGTAATGTACACACTATGGGCACCTCCCCACCATTCTTGGATCTATGTGAATTGTCATAAATATTCACAAATCTAGTATGACAGGCGCATTGAACACTCTCTACAGACAATCCTACAAATTAACGATCCTCTTTATAATATTTGGGAGTGATGCCGATTCCTAAAAATAAAACAATGTTCAGTTATAAAGCATATATTTTATGTTTTACAAGTTACATTTCTGTTCATTTCAACAAATAAATATGTGGATTTCTTACCGATCTTGATTGGTATCACATTTATCTCCGACTAAGTCATGGTCCGCATCTGCCTGAGAATGACAGAAAATAGGATAAGAACACATTCCCTCCGGCAGCACACAATATCTTGCACTTGAAACACAATTAAAGTCAGAGGCAAACATGGGGCTATCAACCAAATAGTTTTATTTAGGAACAGAGATTTGAACTCTTCAAATTTGGGTTTCAGCTTCAAGCGGTATTAAACCCAAAACCAAAAATGTAACATATTGCAGCTTACCAATCATTGGATGTGGTGACTGCATTTGTTTTCTTTTTTTTAAGCTTTTTTTCACCTGTTGATCTGGCCAGTAGCACACCTTTTGTATTAGAATGCCCACACTCTGGATGAAGGAGCACAGGGGGCACATTTCAACATCATTGTCAATCTGGGGGATTGCTAGTGTTACTAGCAGATTTAGATCCACTAACAAATTGAAGCTAAATTCCAGCCAACACTTTATAAGCAGTTACAGTAACAGTTTTTTTCCTTTTAGGATAAATATTTTACGTAAATAAAAGCTGATCATTGTAAGCACTACTGTTGGTGGTAAATAGTTTATCTCAAACATCTAACTGCTACATCTGCAGGAGAGCTTGTTCTACTGAAAAACAACACTTACTGGGCAAATCACGAAGTGAAAATAAAATAAAGAAAGCTTAAACTTTTCTACATCCACCATTTTGTGATATGTAACATATGTAATCGATATACCAAACTATGTTAAAAAACTAAGACCACCTGAACAGTATGAATGACAGATAACTAAAAGAAATAAAAAACAGGTACTATGTTAATAAAGGGGTTCTAAAAGCAGAAGGTTTTTTACCTTAAAGGAAAAGTATGGACAAAGCTCTTCTGGCCCTAATTCTGTAGGTCAGAGCAGTACACTTAGTTCTGCACTCATGTGACTCATGTTCAGTCGAAAGTAGGCTAAAGTCTGCATCGACTGATGTCACAAAGCAGGTTCAGGCACTGCAGGGATCCTGGCAATGTCAGGATCTGCCCAGATGCCTGACCTGTAGCTGGCTCAGTCTCTCAATGCGCTACTGAGAGCCTGAGCCTGCCGATCCCGTGCCCTCTCCTGCCTGGTGCTCCATTGACCGCGGAGGGGCAGATCACAGAGCCAGTGACTGATAGTCATTGTCTCTGCTTAGCATGAACCTGAGAACTGAGCTGTCAGTGGTCTTGGATTGCTCACTTCTTGGTGTAGAGCCGGCAGGGCACAGATGCAGCATCAGATCAATGCTGCAGTTACTTTGGTGAGTATGAATGTTTTTTAAATCTGCACTTGTCTTTTAATGCATGTTATGCCTGAGCCCGAGTTTAATCCAATGCTGTGCCCAAAGAGCTATTTATTTAAAAATGAGCTCTCTCTTTAAATATCAAATAAATGAAATGTGATGAAAATCTCAAATGAATCAACTCAGTTAATAAACAGAAATTCATGCAGCAATTCATAAAAATTAACGGATTAAAAAAAAAAGAAAAAGTGTTATATATATATATATATATATATTCATATATACACACACACACACATTCATATATATTCATATATACACACACACATTCATATATACACACACACACATTCATATTCATATATACACACACACACATATTCATATATACACACACACACACATATACACACACACACATATATATATACACACACATACACACACAGTGAGGAACAGAAGTATTTTTACACCCTGCAATTCTGCAAGTTCTCCCACTTAGAAATCATGGAGGGGTCTGAAATTCACATTGTAGGTGCATTCAACTATTCAAATAATTTTATATAACGCAGCAACATCCACACATGTAGGACACCCAACACTAGTGGTGATTTATTCTCCCAAAGCAAATACACTTTTGCACAGTGCTACTGACTAGTATTCCAATGTTTCTCTCCTCTCTCAGTTTTTACCATCACTGAGCTAATGTGACCCCAGCACTGATGGAGAGGGGCAGGAGAGGGTCAAACTAGGATGCTGTGCTAGCAGCTGACATCCTCCTTATCAACTGATGATGTCATTGGTTGTCAGGACACCGGCGGCTAGAAGGCCATAAATGGTGCGCAATGAAAACCTGCGACTTTGTGTAACTAAAAGGCAGGCTTGTTTCACCCGCTGGCTTGTATACATGTTTTGGGCAATTTTTAGACGTTTTGCCAAGGCACCCCTGAAGAAATCTCAAGGCACCCTGGTTGAGAAAGGCGGCTTTAGATTGTACGCTCCTTGAGGGTTAGGGACTGGTATGAATGTACAATGTATGTATGTAAAGTGCTGCATAAATTGATGGCACTATATAAGTACCTGAAATAAATACATAAATAATATGTTGATATAAAACACCCTGTTACATGTTAGTGTTTTGTGTCTACGCAATATATGTGTGAACTCATTTTAGTTACTCTGTTGTTGGCAGGCCTATATTTATTTGTGACAGATGATATGAATTTTCAGTTATCTTGTAGTAAAATAATCAACCCCTTATATATATTATCATTTTATATTTCACAGCACATATTCTTTTCCTATAAAATTCTAAAAAGCGATATAATTGCTTTATATGTAAACTTCTGCCAACATTCGAACATTGCCCTGTTTTCAAGCTTATCAGTGCGACGTGACACTTTTGTATTGGTCTTTTCTACGTTTAGGTTACACTGCATTCAATGGAGTAGACTTTGAAGGAACATTTCATGTTAACACAGAAACAGATGATGATTACGCTGGTTTTATATTTGGATATCAGGACAGCTCCAGCTTCTATGCAGTTATGTGGAAACAGATGGAACAAACATATTGGCAGGCGAATCCCTTTCGGGCTGTGGCTGAACCTGGCATTCAGCTAAAGGTAAATAATAAAAAAAAAAAAGGACGAAATACGCACTGGATTTTTCTGTAAGAAATCTCTGGGGGAGTTGGAAAACCAAATATTAAAGTGACAAAAAAAAGCAAAAAGCCTTTGAAGGAAACATGAGCAGAAAAAAAAAATATTGCAGCTGTCTACGCTGCTTTGTTTTTAGAAACATAAGTTCTCATGCACACGAGATTTAAGGCTGGAATTTTTCTGCCAGAATTTGGCAGAAAAATATTATTATTATTATTATACAATATTTATATAGCACTAAAAGGTTTGCTCAGCGCTGTACATTATAGTGGGGGACAGAACATGAGACAATACAGTAACAAAACAATACATTTGGGGTTCGAGGGCCCTGCTCTTTCAAGCTTACAATCTAGGAGGGAGGGGATAGTGGTACAGGAGGAAGTGGCTGTGGGGGATGGAGCGGTAGGAGGAGTGGAGGAGATCGGCTGTTAGGTGAAGGCGGGGTAGGCTTCCCTAAAGAGATGGGTTTTCAGGGTGTGCCTAAAGGTGAGGAGGGAAGGTGGCAGTCTGATGGATTGGGGTACTGAGTTCCAGAGGATGGGGGAAGTCCTGGAGAAGTCCTGCACTCAGGTGTGGGAGATGGAGACCAGGGAGATAGAAAGTAGGAGGTCTTGTGAGGAGCGAAGATTACAGGTTGGGTGGTATTTGGGTATCAGGTCGGTGAGGTAGTTTGGGGTAGCATTATGAATGGCTTTGTATGTCTGTGTTAGTAGTTTGAATTGAATGCGTTGGGCAATCGGGAGCCATTGGAGGGAATGACAGAGGGGGGTGGCAGAAGCGGAGCGGTTGGTAAGGTGGATGAGTCTGGTCACTGAGTTCAGGATAGACTGAATCGGGGATAGTCTGCGATGAGGTAGGCCAGTGAGAAAGGAGTTGCAGTAGTCCAGACGTGAGATAATAAGGGAGTGAACGAGTTGTTTAGTAGTGTCTGGGGTTAGGAACGAATGCATTTTGGAGATGTTGCGGAGGTGGAGCCTGCATGAGTTTGCCAACGATTGGACATGGGGTTGGAAGGACAGGTTTGAGTCTAGAGTGACACCTAGGACTTTGGCTTGTGGGGTGGGACTGATGGTGGCGTTGTTGGTCGTGATGGAGAGGGTGGGGGGGGGGGCACGGGCTGGGGAGAAAATCAGGAGCTCAGTTTTGGAAAGGTTCAATTTGAGGAAACGGAGCGACATCCAGTCTGATATGTCGTTCAGTAGGTGAGTGATACGGGCGGAGACTGAAGGGGTGAGGCAAGGGGTGGAGAGGTAAATTTACGTGTCATCGGTGTAGAGGTGATAGTTAAAGCCGTGGGAGTGTATCAGTTTGCCAAGGGAGGAGGTGTAGATGGAGAAGAGAAGGGGCCCGAGGACCGAGCCTTGGGGGACCCCAACAGAGAGGGGGAGAGAGGGGGAGGTGGTAGCATTATACAGTCAGGTCCATAAATATTGGGACATCGACACAATTCTAACATTTTTGGCTCTATACACCACCACAATGGATTTGAAATGAAACGAACAAGATGTGCTTTAACTGCAGACTGTCAGCTTTAATTTGAGGGTATTTACATCCAAATCAGGTGAACGGTGTAGCAATTACAACAGTTTGCATATGTGCCTCCCACTTGTTAAGGGACCAAAAGTAATGGGACAGAATAATAATCATAATTCAAACTCACTTTTTAATACTTGGTTGCAAATCCTTTGCAGTCAATTACAGCCTGAAGTCTGGAACGCATAGACATCACCAGACGCTGGGTTTCATCCCTGGTGATGCTCTGCCAGGCCTCTACTGCAACTGTCTTCAGTTCCTGCTTGTTCTTGGGGCATTTTCCCTTCAGTTTTGTCTTCAGCAAGTGAAATGCATGCTCAATCGGATTCAGGTCAGGTGGCCATTCCATAACATTCCACTTCTTTCCCTTCAAAAACTCTTTGGTTGTTTTTGCAGTATGCTTTGGGTCATTGTCCATCTGCACTGTGAAGCAGCGTCCAATGAGTTCTGAAGCATTTGGCTGAATATGAGCAGATAATATTGCCCGAAACACTTCAGAATTCATCCTGCTGCTTTTGTCAGCAGTCACATCATCAATAAATACAAGAGAACCAGTTCAATTGGCAGCCATACATGCCCACGCCATGACACTACCACCACCATGCTTCATGATGAGGTGGTATGCTTAGGATCATGAGCAGTTCCTTTCCTTCTCCATACTCTTGTCTTCCCATCACTCTGGTACAAGTTGATCTTGGTCTCATCTGTCCATAGGATGTTGTTCCAGAACTGTGAAGGCTTTTTTACATGTCGTTTGGCAAACTCTAATCTGGCCTTCCTGTTTTTGAGGCTCACCAATGGTTTACATCTTGTGGTGAACCCTCTGTATTCACTCTGGTGAAGTCTTCTCTTGATTGTTGACTTTGACACACATACACCTACCTCCTGGAGAGTGTTCTTGATCTGGCCAACTGTTGTGAAGGGTCTTTTCTTCACCAGGGAAAGAATTCTTGGGTCATCCACCACAGTTGTTTTCTGTGGTCTTCCGGGTCTTTTGGTATTGCTGAGCTCACCGGTGTGTTCCTTCTTTTTAAGAATGTTCCAAACAGTTGTTTTGGCCATGCCTAATGTTTTTGCTATCTCTCTGATGGGTTTGTTTTGTTTTTTCAGCCTAATGATGGCTTGCTTCACTGATAGTGACAGCTCTTTGGATCTCATCTTGAGAGTTGACAGCAACAGATTCCAAATGCAAATAGCACACTTGAAATGAACTCTGGACCTTTTATCTGCTCATTGTAATTGGGATAATGAGGGGATAAAACACACCTGGCCATGGAACAGCTGAGAAGCCAATTGTCCCATTACTTTTGGTCCCTTAACAAGTGGAAGGCACAAATGCAAACTATAGTAAATTCCTACACCGTTCACCTGATTTGGATGTAAATACCCTCAAATTAAAGCTGACAGTCTGCAGTTAAAGCACATCTTGTTCATTTCATTTCAAATCGATTGTGGTGGTGCATAGAGCCAAAAATGTTAGAATTGTGTAGATGTCCCAATATTTATGGACCTGACTGTAGGTAACGCTGAAGGAGCGTTGGGATAGATAGGAGGAGAGCCAGGAGAGAGCGGAGTCTCTGATGCCGAGGGAGTGTAGTTTGTTAAGGAGGGTTGGGTAGTCGACTGTGTTGAAGGATGCAGAAAGGTCGAGGAGTAAGAGGACTGAGTAGTGGCCATTAGTTTTTGGCGGTTAGCAGGTCATTAGTGATTTTGAGTAGGGCAGTTTCGGTGGAGTGTAGGGGACAGAAGCCAGACTGTAGTGGATCGACGAGGTTGTTGTCAGTGAGGTGGGCGCTTAGGCGATTGTAGACTAAGCGTTCAAGGAGCTTGGAAGTAAATGGCAGCAGGGAGATGGGTCTAAGGTTGTTCAGGTCGTTGGGGTCCAGGGAGGGTTTTTTGAGTATGGGGGTAATGTGCGCGTGCTTTAGGGGGGAGGGGAATGCGCCAGTAGACAGGGAGAGATTGAAGATGTGGGTGAGGGAGCGTAGGGTGGAGGAGGAGAGTGACCGGAGGAGTTGTGTGGGGACAGGGTCAAGAGGGCAAATGGTGAGGCGGGTTTCTGAGAAGACCTTAGTGACCTCCTCAGTGGTAGCAAGGCTGAAGGAGCGGAGTGTTGGGGAGGTTATAGTGTGCGGGACGTTAGGTGTGGTGGGGGGTTGCGAGGTCAGAGGAGGGAAGAGTTGGTGGTGGGGTTATGGTGGGAGGGAGGCTAGGTGGGGAGGTAGGTTGAGCATTGGAGATATCCTTACGGATTGTGTCGATCTTATTTTGGAAGTGATTGGCAATCTCGTGGGTGGTGAGTGAGGTACTGGGTGGGGGTGGGGGGGTAGGGAGTTGAAAGTGGAGAAGAGCCGGCGAGGACAGGTGGAGAAGGTATTAATGAGGGTTACGAAGTAGGCTTGTTTGGCGGCGTGGAGGGAGGAGGAGTAGGTGAGGAAGGCGGATCTGTACAGGGAGAACGCTCAAGGGGATCTGGTTTTGCACCATAATCGCTCCAGTGCACGACTGCGTCGTTTAAGATTTTTAGTGTGGCCATTCTGCCAGGGTTGAAGCGGTCGGGGTCTAATGCTACATGTGGTTAGGGGTGCTAAGGAGTCTAAGGCAGCGGACAGTGAGTCGTTATACGCAGTAGTGGCCAGGTCAGGGCATGACAGTGGAAGGATACTGTCGTACAGACGGTCAGCTGCAGAGTGGAGAGGGGCCGGGTTCAGGTTGCGGAGGTTACGGCTGGTGATGGTTTGACATTTGGGGGGGGAGGCGTTATAGGACGGGGAGATGGAGAACATAATGAGGTTGTGGTCAGAGAGAAGGAAAGGGGTGTTTGTGAGGTTGTGGAGGGTGCAGAGATGGGAGAAAACTAGGTTCAGGGCATTCCCATTGGTGTGGGTGGAGGACTGTGTGCACTGTGTGAGTGCAAAAGAAGAGGTTAGGTATAGTAGTTGGAATGTGGCTGGGTTGTTGACATTGATGTCTCCAAGGATGATGGTGGGTAGCACAGAGGAGAGGAAGAAGGGCAGCCAGGCGGAAGTGGGATATGACTCTAATGTCCTGTATGTACGTGTGTTTAGGCACATATTGCATTGCGGGTAAACATGCATTTACATGTTATTCTGACCATTGGAAAAATAATTAATATTCAGGATTTAACCATTTGCTGACCACCCCATAGCAGATGTACTGCTACAGGGCACCTGCGCTATGCAGAATCACATATATAAACAGGATTCTGCACATTCTGGTCGTGGGTACATGTGTGCGCTGCTTCTGCCTGCTGTGACTGGTCACAGCAGAAGCTGATCAGTGAGTGCCAGCCAATGGATGAGTGCTGGCACCCACTGATTGTCTAAGTCAGAGACTGACAGAACACAGCTTTGCCTATGTAAACAAGACAGAGCTGTGTCCTGTCAGAGGCAATGTGCTGGATTCTCTTT